CGAAGTGATTTCTGCAATTTTTACTTAAAAGTGGACACAATTTGGTAAATTTTCCCGTTTTATTTTTTTCTTTACGATAATTTGAACCGGAGTTATGATTTTTTGAAAATAGGTCAAATTTGACCTTTGACCTATCATAGCTCGGTCAAAAATTAAGATATTGATCTGCGGTTTGCGCCAAAATTCTTAGTTTTTAATGCTCTTTCGAATGAGGTATCACAAGATAGGGGTTGCCATTTGAAAAAAAAGTTGGGGGCCCCCCGAGCGAGGGGGGATCAAAATTTTGACCCCCCCCCCAAAAGATAGTCCCCTTTGAGATAGGAACATTCCCAAAGTTTCATTACCCTAGGTCAATTCGTTCAAAAGTTAGCAGCGGTGGGACGGACTTTTGGTACACCCTGTATGTATTCATGTTTCCTTCCTCGGTATGAACAGAGTTTTAAAATCTAACACATTTATTTCAGCAATGCATTTCCAAGAAATTAGGTAAAAAAGATTTTTGCAATTACATTCTAACATTTTCCATCTTCGATCTTTTACACAAACCGCAAGGGAGCAATGATGTTATATGAGCGAAACTAGAAACATTTTGTGGGGAGAGGGGCAGTACAGTCACCTCATCAAAGGAGGTCCGAGGGGGCACAGATAGCAACCTCATTAAAGGGTGTCTGTAGGGTCTAACCAGCTCGAGAGGGGGAGGAGTTTAGTGGGATTTCCTCTGATCTAATGCGGGATTCCGAGGGTCTTTCCGAGAAAATTTTTCTAAGAGTAGATTCATTTTTTAAAAAAAAGAAAAAAAAGGAAAAGAAAGAAAAGAAAAAAAGGAAAAATAAGAAAAACAAGAAAAATAAAAAAAGAAAAATAAAAAATTCACACAAGTTTCGAATGGTCCATTCCGCTTTATTCGATGCCTCTTCGAATATTCATCAATTTTTGAACAAGTAGATCCTTTCGACAAAGGGATAGATGCCGCAAACGTCTACATAGGGCGTGAGAACAGTTTTTATTGTATTCTCCGTTAAAAGTAAAGGATTAATTGTTTAGTCTTGATCTGAAGTGGGTGTCAAAAGCTCTCGAGTAATGAAATTAAATAAGGCACATATACCCAACGCAGGGCTGGATAGAAACTGTAGAGCCGGGGGGCTGGTACGCGTGAGGGGCCCGGAGAACGGGGAGGGGAGGGGAGGGTCGCCCTCCCCCGACTTTTGTTCAGACTGTTTGTTCGAATTCGACGTTTGTTCAGACTTTTGTTCGATAATATTGTGATAAATCGCCGTCGATGAAATCACGATTTTACTGCAAATTTATGCGATGAAATCGCAATTAATTGCAATTTTTTATCCGATAATATTGCAATAAATTGACGTCAATAAAATTGCGATACATCCTCCAAACAAATCGTAACTTCTCGCGATCACTGCTACTTGGGAAGTTGTTTGTTCCATTATTTGATGGGAATATTAATAAGATCAAGTTCAGTGAGCATTGTATTAAACAATGTCTGAAAGGTACTAGCACTGAATATATCGGTATGTGAAGTGTAGCCAAGTGCCAGAAATAATGTAACATTTTTTCTGAGAAAACTTACATTTTATAAACTATAATACCACTGCACAAAAACAGTGATAAAAAAAATGATAAGCGTCCTAGAAAAGTATGAAATAACTAAGGGGGTAAAAAGAGGGGATGAATTATTAAATGCCCAAAAAGAGGTATAAATCTGGCTAGTAATCCCCTCTTCATGAAATGTGCTGTCATCGCTGACGAGAACTGAGTACTATGCATTGATTGAAAGTGTTTAGATTATTGGGTGTGTTTTGATCTGTTAATTTGTCATCGACTGTTACCGCTGAAAGCTGTTACCTTGTCTGAAATTAAGTTATGGCCTTTGTGATTTATACTTTACTTTGTGACTCTGACGATGAAGCACTTGCTTTAAAAAGCCTCCGTCAAATTTCATTAATGAAATATAGGTTTTTTTTTTTTTTTTTTAAAAAAATGCTACATTATTCTAGCACTTGGCTACACTCCACATACCAATATTAACGAGAGTGGATTTGACAACCTTGGAATGAAGATATGTTCCTTGTTCTAAGAGAACGACACATATTTGGTCGTGTGGGGACTCCTCCGCGCCTTCATTTCGAAAGCGATTATCTGGTGACGTAGCAAAGATGGGGGCTGCGTGCCCTCTAAGCCGCAGCGCAGCGCCGGTTTGCGTAATCCTAATGCATCCCGTAATGATGCCATTGCTGCAGCAGCACCGTGCACTGTGACAGCGGCTGCGGTGCCCGCTTCGGCGCCTTGTCTACTACATTAAGGTGTCATGATGCCGGAGACGGCCGAGATCTAGTCCAACGCTGACAGGTTGATCCATTCAGTTTTTATGACACTATCAAAACACAGCTGCGTGACTGGTTGTCAAGATGGATACTGCGATGAAACAAAAAGAAGCTGTCATTAAAAATATCACTTTAGCAGACATTTAGGGCCCCTTCATAGGATGACCCCTGTGGCCTGATTTTTTAAAAGACAAGGTGATAGACGAGGGAGACAAAAATATTGTAAAATCAATTTCTGGTCCCCACTGATCCCCCACACGACAGCGATGAGCATCCAACGAGTGTCAGAATGGATCGAGAGAAAAAGTTCGCTTTAGGCTGAGGGTGGGAAATGGTACACGAAGCAATATACATACAAAGAAGACAATGAGCAAATATGGAGGGATCCTCTAGGTTGAAACTGCTTGAAATTCGTAGTTAAAAAAAAATAAGTTCAACGGGGAAGCTATTCAAAATTTTCCTCAATCTGTCATATTCGAGTTACGAAATTGCTGGTTTATTATGCAACATCCGCCTGTTTACTGACATATGAATTGACTAGATACTAGGAATTTATTCATTGAGAGACAGGAGAAAATTTTCCATTGAAATTTCAAAATCCGACTTTTCAACATACCTCGACGGAAATCACACTACCACTTTTTTTATTCATTTATTTATTTTTTTGTGGACGGAAGTCTCTCTCTCCATAAAGGGTCACATTAAAGGTTTTTGCCGGTAGATTCAAAGGCCTAAAGAAGCCCCCTCCCCTCCACCTTTCCTGGACCAACAATTTCACCAGAAAGGGGTAATTTTTGGTCATGTCTAAACATGCTTATGAAAGTATATAGCATGTATAGTGCATATATTAAACAAGAACGCTTATACTTACACTTTCAAAGAATTATCGATGATTTAACGTCATTTTTTACACATTTCTTGCGTACAAAGAAGCACATATTGAGTTGTAAACAAATTCCGACCAAAAAATTTTAAGAAACATTCTACCAGTGGCGCTAGAGTCTGTATATTCCGATGAAAAAAAATTTTCTTAAAAAAAAATACTGTTAAATTGAAAAGCCGTCGTCGTGTTTTCTAACTTCCAGTCGTTGAGCATTGGTAATTTTTGATAATTTTGGAAAAAAATAGTTTCCTTCTCTAATTCTCTATATGGGTAGAGTCTTATCATTGCAGGGGCTACCATCCGAACATGCAAATGCCGTTGTTTTGGCAAAAAAAAAAAAAAAAAAAAAAAAAAAAAAAAAAAAAGCCAAGGTGACAAGATGGTTCTATTAAAAATGTATCAAAATTTTACAAAGTGCCCCATCACAACAGTCCTGATCCAAAAAAGTTTATTGGAATAAATATCTCCCAGATGCACTATGTGGCATACCTCAGGTTCTCCTTCAAATCAATGACTAGGCAACACACGCTTCATTCACGGTACATGCTCTCCGGAGTACCTTGTTTGCGGTGATGACTCTTGTAGAGGATCAAGAACCAACTAGTAGTTGCGCTTCTAATTATTCGGTGATTTTTAAAAGGGATGACTTAGGACAGTTGTTAATGATGAAATTTAATACCAATGTAACGCCAACAGTAGTTTTAATTAACACTGAAACGAAGTAAATTTAATGTATGAAACAATATCATCCTGGAGAGGAAAAATATATTTACACTTTGATACAATTAGCAGATCAATATCCACAAGCATTGATTTTGGAATGGTCTAAAGAAAGAGTCCACGCCCGTAATATTTAATGATATGAAGTTGATAATGAATAAAGGATAGGATACAACTGAAAGCAAATAATCATAGATGAAACAAAACTCTCTGAACCTATACTTTAAAATCTGAAGGAATGAATGGACTTACCGAGGCAGATTAAAAATGTACCTACAATATACAATATTTATCTTGCATTAAATTCCGTAGAAGTACAATTAAGTTGAAGAGCTTTGAGAAATATAAAAAGGTACCTACTTGACAATACTTGAAAGTAATCTATTTCACACGTGTTACGGAAAACTGTAAGGGATTCACAGAGTCATTCACTTTTACTATTTGTAGATAGGTTTTATAGTCATTGAGCGCTTCATATCTTGGGTCATATGGATGCAATCCACTTCTGTGGTCCGCAGTCTTGTTGACTTGTTGTTGTCTCTGAATTTTCCAAGAGAATATACACACTTTAGTGGTACTTTAAAGGCTAGATCTTCCGAAGTTCTAATGCGCACATGCGATTCAAATTCTCCTCTGTCTGATATTGGTCATTTAGAGAATGAAATGAAAAAAATTTCATTTAGATCGTTCTGATTTGAAAACTTAATTTTTCTGACTTTTTATCGCATTTCAAGATTTCACAAGTTTTACCTACAATAAGGTATAATCCAAACTTCAATATTTTCTCTAAGATAATTACTCATCAATATCCAATGTTTTCTTTTTTTGCTTTGAGTTTAAATTCTGGGGTTTTTCTTTTTTTTGACGTTGATTATAGAAAGTGGGCCTCTGGACGGAGAAAGCAGGCCGTTGTTGGAAGGTTGAGTACGAGTAATCGCTTGGGTAGTAGCCTCCTGTGTAACCCGGACGGGAAGCATACTGCTGATAACCATTCAACACTTGTTGCCGGATTCTGTAGGTGATTGGCCTCGTAGTTTTCCATAGATTGCTAACGGCGGTCAGGGTCTGTATTGGAATCTGTCAGAACATCAAGAATGACAAGTATCAGACAAAATGCTGCGTTAGTTCAAACTTCTAGAAGTTCTCAAGTGAAATCAAACGTAAAAACCACCTTTAGAAGGGCCAACTGAATGTGGGAATACTGTGCTTCAGGTGCCGAGTTCCTTTCATTCCTCGCACTTTAGGTTTAACGTCCATTATCAATAGGACGTATTTCTGTCAAATGAAACCATGTGCATTATGACGTAGGCCCTGTTATACATGTATTCTTATGGGTCTCAGAGCTCATGTCAAAATGCACATAGTTCCGTTTGACAGATACCTATACAGGGTGTTTCAGACCACCCGTACCAGGCCTTTTTCTCGGTTGGTTTAGGTCGTACGAAGTCGGAGACCGCGGGATTGAATAGGGAATTGACCCCAAGGAATCCGAATTTTGTGATCACGAAACCCCCCCACCCCTCCTTGGGAGATAAATGGGGGGTCACGATGCTAAAAGTCACGGTTCTCGACCGAATTGCGGATCGATCGCATCAGAATTGAAAAGCACGGAAAATTTCACGTGGAANAAGTTGGTGAGTGGTTTTTGTTCATTTTCTATTTTATTGAGCATGTTTGCATGGCATATGCACTCCACAAGTTGGGTAGTCGCCAAGACAACCCCTGTGATTAGGAGGGTACGTAGTGGGAACACCCACAGGTAGTTGCACGGCTACATCTAGGTAGTCGCACGGCTACATCCAGGCAGTCACACGGCCACATCTAGGTAGTCGCATGACTACATCTAGGTAGTCGCACGGCTACCTACACTGGTTCCATTTATGTACCCTCCTAGTCGCAGGGGTAGTCGTCTTTTTTACCAGGGTTATTTCACATTGGTTACGAGGAATTTGAACTGCCCGCTCACAAGAAACTCAAAACTCTACGTGAGTCAAATCGCCCACTCCAACGGTTTCAGCAAGCTTCTCAATCGAGAAATGTTCATTTCCCATCATGTGTTGTTCAAACTATTCGCAATTTGCTATAACTGAGGCAAAGCGTCAAGATTAAGGTTGCCAGAATTTTATATCGCAGAGACTGTCATGATAACGTTTAGCGCGCGATGTGAATCACGTAGAGCATTGTGTTTTCATGAGCGGGTGGTTTGAATTTACGCATTAAGAATCATTAAATATCTTCGTAAGGAGTTAATTTCGGTAATTTTCGTTGTGTGCATCGTGTTTTACGTAAAATTTTGGTTAAGAAACATGTATCAGAATGCTGAAATTCGTACCTTATCTAGTGGTCCATTCCAGTTAAACATTTAAATTTTTGAGTCAGCCGGGAGACCCTTTCACCCTCTTCTTCTTCCCTGGTAGTTGCGTCAAAAACACCGTGATGGAAAGCAACATGTGAGATCTCACACGACAATGCCTCAGCTCCTACGAGAACACCATGATTTACCCTATTCTACTTCCCTGGTATAGACATCTAAAATACGGTGGTGGATTGCGTAATCTGAGATTTCATGACAATTCCTCAGCTCCACCGGGAAATCCATTTACTCTTTTCTCCTCCCTTGTATTCGCCTCTAACATTCTTTGGTGGAAAGCGTCATATTAAATCTCACATTACGCTTCCCTAGTTCAGTCAAGAGGCCCCTATACCTTTTCTCTTCCCATGCTATTTGCATCTAAAATACCTGTTTGAAATTTATCTCACCTGGAAAATGCTGTCAATGACTTGATTTCCTTGCTCAAGCTCAAATTGTCGCTTCGCTCTCTTTAAAACAACTTCTGAAGTTTCCTGGGGAATAAGAAACATATTGTGCGTGTCTTTAATATCTATGAGAGAATATTTTAGCGGTGCTACCTGGGTGCATGTATGCATTTATTAATGCACTTATGTAATTCAACAGACTGGCTTCAGTGTCTCGGGACTTATCCTGCTTCACAGTGGCGTAGACAAGGGGGAGGTCCGGGGGGTNCCCCCCCCCCCCCTCCCTTAGCCTCGTTAATTGTACCTTTTTTCACTTTTGGAGAACAGACATAAAATACGTATTATCCTAGCTATACATAAGAATTCCTAGCTACGCCACTGCTATTTCATGTTTGCTGTTCTTTTAAGTTGGATCTCATTTATTTTTTAATCGTTCGGTAAAACTATTCGTAATTTATTACATACTCTTAACGATACATTCTCATTCCATCTCAATTTATTTCCAAACAATAACAAATGCGCATGGAGACATCGCTTGACGGACGGGCATAAAAGTTGAATAATAGGACGTATTTATGCGAAACGGAACTATGTGCAAGTAGAAAGATGGGGTGTGCTTGTCAGTGCTCGGGCCATGAGAATGAATGGTACTTTAAAAGTGCCAGTGACGTCAGCTATGAGGACCGGGTGCGACGAGGCAGCACACGAGCGACGACGACTAGGTCGTCAGTCTTTAACTCATGAGCCCTGTCAGCAGGGCTCTTGTCACATGCCCACGGCTCACGAGTTAGCGCTCAATTCCATTTGATTTAATCAAAAATTCCGTATTTCCATTTTCTCAAGAGGAACTATATCCACTGACCACATTGTTTCTTATGCAGCTTCCACGAGCACACCCCATCTTTCCACTTCAACATAGTTCCTTCAGCATAAAAACGTCCAGTCGACGGTGCAACTTCCAAACCATGGATCTCATATCCGGCGTTTAAGAATCTCTCTCTCTTATATTTAATATTTTTTAGGAGAACAGATAAAAATCATTTCTGAAGTTACCTCAGAATTTGCATCAGACAGAGAAAAAAAATCATGGATGTTTTCAATAATTGACGTTGAGGAGTTTCTCTTTTACGAAATGGACGTATGACTATCAAACGAAGATATGTGCAGGTGAGAAATATGGGGTGTGCTCTAGAAAGCTGCATAAGAAACAATGTATTAGTTGGCGTGATTCCTTTTGAGAATTGGGAAAGCGGTATTTTAAATTGAGCAAAGAAAGCTACCTATGTGGCAACTGAATGCGGGATTCATGAACCGCGGGCATGGCAAGAGAGCGTTGTGGACAGGGCTCATGAGTTAAAGCGCCCCGTCGACGATCTCTCCCTTGCGCTTGCGCTCGATCATTGCCGCTGACGTCAATGGCGCTACATTATTCTTATACACTCTTACAGCCAGAGAACTAACAAGCACACCCCATGTTTCTCACCTGCACAAAGTTCTGTTTGATAGACATACGTCCAAATGACGTAGAATATGAATGACAAGAAGTCTGCAACGTCGCAAACGGAAGTGCGTGGTTAGAAAGTTTCACCGTCAATACGTAAGTTAAAAAAAAACATAGATATGACGATTTTGTAAAATACGAATTTCCTCTCCAATAATGCAACAAATTGAGCCGTGATGTTGAATTAATAGAGAAGGTTTCATCAGCTACCCTGTGAAAAATCTCGTCTGAAATCCCTCAATCTATATACAGGGTGTTTCAGACCACCCGTACCAGGCCTTTTTCTCGGTTGTTTTAGGTCGCACGAAGTCGGGGACCGCGGGGTTGAATGGGGAATCGACCCCAAGGAATCCGAATTTCGTGGTCCCGAAACCCCCCACCCCCCCTTTATTCCCCAAGGGGGAGTAAAGGGGGGGTCACGATGCTAAAAGTCACGGTTTCCGACCAAATTGCGGATTAATCGCATCAGAATTGAAAAGACACTGAAAATTTCACGTGAAATTGACCCCTAAAAATCCGTAATCGGCCCATCCAAGGCCTATAAATGATCCCCTAAAGAGGGGGACTGTACCCCCTCCATAATTTCTCTTTGGTCTCAAAATTGACGTAGATTCTCCAGAAAAAGATGGTTTCCCAGGTAATCGACCCCGAGAAATCCGAATTTCATGGATCCGAATCTCCTCTAGCCCCCCTTGGAGGGTAAACGGGTGGCCCAATTTTAAAAATCGGGGCTTTTTTCCGAATCGCAAATTGATTGCATCCGAATTGAGGAGCAGAACATTTTTCCATCTTTAGTGACCCCCAAGAGTTTAAATTGACCCCCCTGAATGGCAGAAAGTAACCCCTGAGGAGGGGGGCTTCGCCCCCTCCAGAAGTTTCTCAAGATTCCTCTTTGGTTACAGAATTGACGTCGATTCTCCAGAAAAAGACGGTTTTCCAGGTAATTGACCCTGAGGACTCTGAATTTCATGGTCCCTAAGCTCCGCTACCCGCCCTTTTGGGCAGAAACCGTCTTTTTTTGGAGAATCGACGTCAATTTTGCGACCAAAGAGGAATCTTAAGAAACTTCTGAAGGGGGCAAAGCCCCCCCCCCCTCAGGGGTTACTTTCTGCCGTTCAGGGGGGTCAATTTAAACTCTTAGGAGTCACTAAAGATGGAAAAGTGTTCTGCTCCTCAATTCGGATGCAATCAATTTGCGATTTGGAAAAAAGCCCCGATTTTTAAAATTGGGCCACCCGTTTACCCCCCAAGGGGGGCTAGAGGAGATTCGGGACCATGAAATTTGGATTTCTCGGGGTCGATTACCTGGGAAACCATCTTTTTCTGGAGAATCTACGTCAATTTTGAGACCAAAGAGAAATTATGGAGGGGGTACAGTCCCTCTCTTTAGGGGATCATTTATAGGCCTTGGATGGGCCGATTACGGATTTTTAGGGGTCAATTTCACGTGAAATTTTCAGTGTCTTTTCAATTCTGATGCGATTAATCCGCAATTCGGTCGGGAACCGTGACTTTTAGCATCGTGACCCCCCCTTTACCCCCCAAGGGGGGGGTAAGGGGGTTTCGGGACCACAAAATTCGGATTCCTTGGGGTCAATTCCCTATACAACCCCGCGGTCTCCGACTTCTCACGACCTAAAACAACCGAGAAAAAGGCCTGGTACGGGTGGTCTGAAACACCCTGTATGTAAAGACACTTTGACGTAAAGTATTCGGATTGAAATATCAATACAAAACGTGGATTTTTGCGCCACCTCACTATTGGTTTCGATCGATATAGAATTCTCATGCAGTTGAGATTTTTATAAGGTAGAGCACTGGGTAGGTAGGTGAAACATACCAATATACGGTATAGGGCCTCGTTATTTGCTGAAAATTGACAATTAGCTAAATCTGTATTTTTGCAAAAGTTCATTGACATCTCGTAGTTTATCAACCTCCCACTGAGGATTCATCTAACTATGCAACTATGCGCTTACATAAGTTTTCACTCAACATTTTCGCGGCCAGGTGATCTGAGTTTGATGGTCTCAGGCAATGGTCACCTGGGGCTGGGGTAATAAGCGTGGGATTAGCCAAAGGCTATTTGAAATTGGTAAAAAAAAAAANTTATTTTTTTTTTTTTCGGCAAGATCCTAATCACGAAATCTACGAGGCGTCAAGATATCTACATCAAGATGCATATGAAAGAGAGCTAAGATTAAAACTGCGTGGGACTGAATTAAGTGGGTTGAGTTTTGGTCGTAATGGCAAACCAGTTACACAATGACCAATGAGAAAGACTATGGCTCAGCTACTAGCCCAGAGATGTCCTTTTTTTGGTTCATTAGGAAATGATGCACATGAAGCTTATAACTTTTTAACTCTTAATTCTATTCTTTGCCATTCAGGTTGGCACGTAATTTTTTCTCATGAAAGTTGTATGGCCCATGAGAAAAAATTGCATCTTACCATTGGCAAGAGAATAGAAAAGTGGAAATTAGGAGCCGTGCAGAAACAGCAACAATAAGAACGACGACTAAACTCTTCCAACCTGCGTCCGCTGAAATAATAATAATAATAATGATACCTAATAAAAAAAAAAAAAAAAAAAACTTGGCATATTTTTCCTCAGCAAGATTCTGAGCTAATCTTCAATTCCGAGCAAAAACATATTTTTGAGGTGAAAGCTCGTAACTACGTCAGGGATTCGGAGACATGGTATGAAAATATTAAAATTTAGATAACCACACCAAAATTAAATGGACCTCTATGAGAGATATATTAATTGTAAAAACACAAGCGTTTCAGTAGCATTGCAATACTTCTGGTTCTTTTCTGGGAATTCAGACGAAACTCTTTCGTCTGAGTGCAGGTAGCGTTAACCCTGTACCGCCAATCAGCTTTCTAACCATCATTAATTTTCTTGAATCAGGAATGAAATGATTCTTGAGCGAGTCCCTGTGCTCTTTTCACCAGGGACTGTTCCAGTAATACGTATAAGACATTTTGACCGAATTTTTGACCCCCATCTCCCTTTTCATGCATCCACGCGACAACCTATTGCCCTCTTTTTGAATGAATGGGGATGTTGCAAACTTTTGCTAGAGCAAAAATAAGAGTTGTTCCTTGTAGATAATGTCTCAAAAATTACGATGAGCGCATCGGCAAATTCTGAAATGCACTCTTAACTTCACAATTTGCGTATGAAATTTGCGTTTTTTTTTAAGATTCCCGCTTCAAAAAAGGATACTATAGCACAGGTGAACATTTCGTTACGGAAGTTGTTCCATTCAATCCCTGCTCAACATGGCCGACGGTTCCGCGCGCAAGTTGAGGAGAGCACGAGGTCAACCAATAGGCGGATATCTATCAATGCGAGAAAAATGTGAATGTAAAAACACCGATTGTTATCAGGTGGTTAGAATCATCGTTCCGTTAGGTACATGTGTTTTGACGGATTGGCGTCGGCTATGTTGAATATTTTGTAGTATCCTTGTGAGCAAGGGTTGGATAGAATGACTCCTCTAACGAAATGTTAACCTGTGCCGTGGCATTGCTTTTGAAGCGGGAAGCTAAAAAAACGCACATTTCTTATGCTAAATGTGAAGTAAGGAGTGCATCTCAGACTTTGCCGATGCGCTCATCGTGATTTTAGGAACATACTCTATGAGTAACCACTCTTAGTTTTGCTCCAGCAAAAGTTTACAACAAGCCCATTACGTTGGACTGGCCCTTGCTATTATCCCCAATTTTTCAGAAAATAATGGCGAAAGCATGCAAAAAAGCTGGAAAGGTTTTTTTCTTTTTTGGGAATGAACAGTTTTTTAAAGGAGAAGACTTACACTGAAAAAAAAGTGGAAGTGGGATTGACCATAATGGTATAGAAAAAAAAAATATGGTGATAAAAAGCCAAATAATGGTCGATTTAAGCATCTAGATGAAAGTGAGAATCATACTCGATATAAAAATTACCATACCCGGATTGTAAATATCAGTTAGGTGTGTCTGTCCATCGTTTAGGTATTTCTCACCATCAGCTGGGTATTTTTTACCATACGATGAGTTAAAAGTATGGAATAACATGGTAACACTTGCGTTTGATATCTGTAGGCATCTGTATGCGACTGGTCATGGTGTTGGTAGGTTAAATTTACCATACTGGTATAGTCAGCGTGGTGAGAGCTCCCGCTTGACTGCGCTGCGGTCTGTGGTCCGCCATTTTTCGTTTGTCTGTTTGTCAGTTATAAATTTATCACGTTGAGGGTCGGAGTCCGTGGCTGTGTTTTATTGATCCATATTAATCCATGTGAATCCACGCGTAATTTGCCCAAATTTGTGTTCGAATTGTCCCTAAAGCTACCGTCTTCTCTTCGAATCTATCTATATTGATCTGCCACATACATTTTCTGAGATTTTTTCGTTATTCGTATCGACCAATTTCTGGAGGTTAGGAGTTGCTACAATGAATCTGGCTTGCAAAGTGAAGGAATCCTGAAAATTTGAAAACCTTCGCAAAGTTGTTCTGCAATCCAGTGAATATCGGTTCTGTGTAAAGTCATTTCGAAAACATAAAAGTGCGGAAGTAATTTGAAAATAATCGACTAGAAGTGATTTTTGAATACTTCGTTCCGTAGGTATATCTATATTCTTGTTAAAATTTTCGAAGCTCAACATACTCAGATGAAGAGACAAATGTGCGTGGGATTGATGTTTAACTGTAACTTTAAGCAAAATTTGGCAGCTTCTGCCCCACCGTGAACCGTGCGATTGGATTTTCATGTGGTGTCTTTTTGTGGGTATATTTTGAACTATCTATTTATTATATGCAATTAAATTTTCCGGGGATCTGATTTAGTCTGTAAATGATACCTTAACGCGAATAACAAGTATGGTTTTGGTATCATTTACTTGAAATCAGTGAAGCAATTATCTGCTATTTCTCGTTGAAACTGTCTTTAACTGCCATTGATTGTGTATGTAACGGAATTTCTAAAAGTAAGATGTAAGTAAAATATCCACGACTTTCATCAAAAGCATTTAATAATATAAGATGAGTGGATTTTAGAATCTACAAGGTTTGTCGCAGCATCTGGATGCTTGAAATTACCATACTAGTCAGTCGGGAACGCCACACTGGCACTGTGTCGCATAGTGTCAGCCGTATCGTGTTATTTACCATACCGGTATATTGGTAACTATGCTGCAGCTTCACTGTGTAAAAAATCAAGTAGACAGTATGGTAAATAACACCCAAACTCTGGTAAATCCCACCGATTATTTTTTTCAGTGTATGTAAGACGGGGTTTAATTTCCTCTCTTCCTCCTCGACATGAGCCCATATATGAGAAAATCAGACTATCTCGCTCAATGAGGCACCGTTATACTTGAACCCAATACTGACCCCTTTTCCCAAAAAGCACAGCAAAACGAAAATATTGAAATTTAATTTCAATAAATTTCAATATGTTTACATCATTTAGTCGAATTATGCCGATTTTAAACAATCAACAAAATGAGCTCCATACGTCAGAAAGATAGGCATTATGCAATGCAACGAAAAATTGCAACTTATTTCAATTTCATTGCAATAAGTCTCAATAAATGGAGCCCCTTCAAATAGGAGTTAGGCAACAAGCACAACACTCAGTGGAATTGCAATATTTGCACCATGCAATTGCTACTTATTGCAATCTGTGCTACTTGGGTTCTTTGAGTTAGATAAAGTTGCGCTTAGCGACGTACCTTTGCATCGACGAAGTGATGAAGGATCAAAATAACGAAGAATCCCGGGAAAATTCTCTGGCGCCCGGAAGGATTGAGCAACTTCATTGCGGCATAGCTGGAAAAGAACAAGTTTGTCGTAGATCAGTGATCAGTGCTCGAGTAACGCCATTTCACGCCAAATCAAAGCGGTCAACACTCACTGTCACGACTACTTCCGGTCCAAAGTGACGTTGCATTCCTCCCTGATGGATTAAAATTGCATCCTATATGCAAGTGCGAATAAAACAAAAATGCTCACAGCCCAATTTGGCATTTCAGTCAAAGGAGGTGCCGCAATCGTACTAATAAACCAAGAGAGACAGATCATTTTAAATGTAATTTACATTGGGGTGGGTTCGGTACCGTCATGTTCGGTGATTATTAAATGGACTCCCTATACTGCGGGCCGATTATTGTTATTGATAGACAAAGCTATAAAAGAAAAAGACAAAAGAGATATGGAGAGATCTTATTGGTGGAAGTGGGTGGTTGCAATGGACAAAAGAGGCAGATTATAGACTAACTAACGGCAACCCACGAAAGACCCGATAGTTACTCCATCATTTTCTCCCTTAATCTATAGGAACCACCCATTTCAACCGATAGGATCGCTCCATACTCCCTATGTCTTTTTTGCCTATAATTTTCAATAATCAGCCCGCTGCAGTGCTAAGGAGAGGCCGTATGAAAATTCGAGGAGTACAGAATATCCCTACATGTATTTTTGCAAAAAGCTATGCTTATTTTTCTTTGAAATTTCGAAACATTTTAGATCTAATTGCGAAGAAAATTGTCTGAAAAATGTGAACAAAAATATTCGCAATTTTCCCAGTAAATTAGTTTTGTTTTGTTTTTTTTTTCTTTCTTTTTTTTTAGAGGAATTAAGGTAGCGTCTGAAGGTTCGTACGGTGTTCTTCCTTAGCACGGTATTATATGCCAACTAATCTTATGAAAGAACTTCAAAAATATACTACCCCACTACCCCTACGCTCCTCATGAAAGTGTCCACACTTCGGTGTCTTGCACAATAATTTTCACGCTGCTTATTTTAATTTTGTGTCAAAATATGGCATAGAGTCATTGCATTATAATCTTAGAATTTAGCCCTGAGACTGACGGGTTAAATATCCCGGATACGCTCTTCCAGAATCAGCCATTCGTTTTTTCATTGGCAAACTTCAAACCCTTATACAATTGAATCCGTGAGAACGAAAACACATCAAATCGAAAAAGTGAAAATAATGAAGACACACGAAATTGCACAACCCACCAAACACACTCTACCAAGTAGGTGAAGAAGTTTATCCAAGAAAAAGATTTTTGGTGCCGAAAGACAAATACTTAAAGACATCGTTAAAGGTCCAAGTTGGAACAGATGCGCTTATACTTCAATGACCTTTATGAAAATTCACCGTCTTTAATGAAATTTGAGCATTCTCGAGTTACCGAGTTGGTGTGTTTTCGTTCTCACTGATTCAATTTCAGTTTCGTTTGAAATTCCAGCACCTATTTTTACCAAAATATTTGAAGAATTCAACCGCATTCAATGGTGCCAACTATTTAATTTTGAGTTTACTGACCCCACGTGTACCAAACTTAACACCTAAATCCCTAGGTGGCGGTAGCCACCCCGGCCCAATCCTAAAAAAAATTCGAAGAGGGGTGACTGCTACCTAACTAGGTAAACACGAGAAAGTACCTACTCTGACAGAGAATCGTTCAGCTATCATCCAGCTTTCTATTCCTTTCAATGGTTGGCTTATTGTTTTTAGTCTGTTGTTAAATCCAGTATAGAGCTTATCTAAATAATGCTTGTGTGCTAGTAGTACGGAGATTTTAATAATTGTTTTAAAGCTGGTATGAGAGTAGAAAAATGTCATCATTGCCATGAAAACCATTATGTCTATCAAAGATACCAATGACTGCGTCCATAGCAATGATTTTTGTCTATGCATGCACACTTATTTAGCTGTGCGAAGGGTTTTTGGTCTGTTCTATATAGGCACTGTTTATAATATACTGTGTGAAACCCTGGCCCTGGTGCTCTGGATAGTAATGAATATTGAATGGAAATTAGTAATCACATTGTGCTGAACAAAAAAAAAGGCAGGGAGAATTATTATCCATTCTGCTTAAAAGCTGCGATCTGTGGCGCGGTTTATTCTGAATCTTTCGGTAAAAAAAGTTTTCGCTTGAAATGCCGCTGAGAGTTTTATCACCCGCGAGTAGGATTTAATGTACGGTTGGACATATTTATAATTCATTCTGTTGAAAAATGGATGTATTTCTGCTAAACGGAACTAGAGACGTGTGGGAAAAGTGGGGTGTGCTCATGGTGAACTGCCAAAGAGACGATGTAAAAGTAGGCGTGATCCTCTCGGAGAAATGGAAAAGCGGAATTTTACATTAACGGAACTAGGCGCCAACTTTATGCTAACTCATGAGCCGTGGACGCGTCACAAGAGCGTTTTGGAGAGGGCTCATGAGTTAATGCAGCATTGTGGAGTTCGTCGAGCCCGGTCGTCGATGTGACGTCACTGCCGCTTTATAATCCCCGTATACTCTTACGGCCCTCAACTAACGGACACACCCCTTCTCCCCCACATGTATCTGCTTCCGTTCAGTAGAACTACGTCCGAATATAGGGTTTACTTCCTCTCTTCTTCAAAGTTTCAATTACATTATCAAATCTAGTGAAACTGAAGAGATTAAAATAAAAAAATGGCTCGTTAGAATTTTAAAGCTAACCCTTTATTACATATTTTAGCACGAAAGCAACGAACGGTTTATGGTTTTAGCCCTCCACGGCATGAGTTGCATCAAAGCAACGAGCAGTTCTCGTTTGGGGNGGGGGGGGGGGGGGGGGGGGTTGGTAGTCTAATCCTCAAATTGCCTACAGTAATTTTGGGACTCCATTTTTTTCGAAAATCAAAGTAACGGTGCACGTGCACAATTTAGATGTTTTTCCCTCCTCGGTGATCAATTCATGGTGTAAAAGGTCAACAAATTTTCAGAGACCCTAGCGAAGTCTTTACCGGAAGTGAAATCTGAAAGGAGCACAAAGCAAAATCATAACACGAGGGTCGGATCCGATCCCTGCGTAGCGTTGGGAGAGTGGAAAAGCGACTTACGTGTTTTATCTGCGAGACTCGTGGATAGTTTCCATAGCCGGGCACTTGACTGCGACTGCACGAGTTCCGAAAAATTTGAATAATAGGAGTCGGATCCGCGAATCCGCTGCGCGAATGGGAGGCACAGACCGCGAAGGCGGCGCTGATGTAATCCGGCGAACCCGCCAAAGCAAAACACCTTAAAAATCACTCATCCACTCATATTCTTCCGGTGGAGTTGCGTGGTTATTGCTTAGCGCCCCGAACGGGGGCCACGTGTGGGCAAAGACAGTGGAGACGCCGGCGCATGCGCGTAACGCTTGGTATTTCTTTTTCTTTTTTTCTTTTTCTTCCTCTTTTGATTCCCATTTGATTCTCCTCACAACTGTCCCGACTTGGCGATCTTAGACGTGTGCACACTACTGACACACTTTTCGGATAATTAACGGAGCCCATTCGCAAAATAGCTCCCCCGCGCGGCCGGCCCCGGCCTGACAGTAAGTGGTTCTTCATCTCTCACGCATTGCTGCAAAATCTTTCGTCAATACCTAACAGGCAATAATTAGACACTAGCGGAAAATCCCCTATTCCGGGTGGACAGAGGCTTTTCTGAATGAAACTTTATAAAAAGTAGAGATTGCACGAGGGTGTTTTCAAATGAGGTTCTACTGTAAGGTCCAACTTCACTTCCCCCATAATTTTATTTCGCATTCTGGGATGAACCAAACTTAATCTTGACCAATATGAGATACTAGGGGGGTATACCCCCTGGCCGCTACGCGCGGCTCAACCCCCAGAGGGCGCCTCGCGCTCTCTAATTTGGCCCGCGTCGAAAAAAGAACGACCAAAAAAAATGAACAGATTATTGTACTCGACTCTCATTTATTCAATCTCCCTCTGGCCGGGAGCAATCGGACCAATCAGAATCGAATGAAAAAATCTGCATTTATTTCAAACTTCACGCCAAGACTGAAACGAGACAGGACTAACGGAACGGAGCGTTTCGTCGCTCTTGAATAGTCTGTAGTAAAGGAGCACACCTTCGACTCACTTACCTTACCGTAACAGACCAAGATTCAACATTTCCCGCTAAGTTCAATTTTCCGCTAAAGAAATTCCCGCAAGTTTTCATTGGTGGGAATTTCAAATTTTGCCCTCCTTTCCAGGCTCACTGGTCTACTTTTATATAAAAAAACCTGGCCCCTCTTTTCAAATTCTGATCACAGCGGGCTTATCTAGAGACTATCACCTGTCGATAACCGCAAAAATCATGGGAATCGGCCCAGGAGAACGCTCAAACGAACTGTGGCAACAAATAAAAATTAACATTGTTTAAATGGGAGAATTCGCAACTTTACCACGCAATATAAAAAAAAACCTGGGTCATGTCTTCAACGCAAACATCATGAAAATCGGCCCGGTAGAACGCAGAAACTAAGCTTTGCCAGATATGCAAATTTAGGAGGTCTTGAAGCTTTAAATATAGATAGAATCAGGAAATATAGCTCGGCAAGCTTAATTATTAAGCTACAACCAGAAATCTGCCCGGAAAATGTATCATTCCGAGACATTTGCTCTAATCTCACCTGATTTTCCAAATCTTCGTCTCAAATGTGATGTATAATACTTTTCATTGAAAATTGACCGACATTTTTATAAGAGCATCATTGGAAAAATTTAATCCCTTTAGGAAAAACTCATCCGTCGTGAAATAATTCTGAGGCTCTTTTTGCTTGTATTGTTGAACAGTTCTGTTTGTCAAGATATGCACTGTCTTACTTTAACACGAGAAAAAGCTTCAAATTCTTGGAATATTGCAATACGGAATGGATCAGAATCATGGAATTTTAAAACTTCGACTGGTCATGGATAACTGTGGAGTGGAGATAAAGCAAGGAAAAGTTTGAGGAATTGCATGAACATAATAATTACACTGGTTAGGTAACATTTTTTTGTACATACATATATTTGCCAAAGATTTGCCAACTGATACGGACTAGATTTTTAGCGCTGATTCTGAAAAAAACCTCCGTTTTCTGGACCAGTTTGATTCTTCCTTAAAAATCTAGCTTTTCTAAAGGAGACAAATTTCCAGGCAAATCTGCGCACGATGGAAAAAAACAAGAAATGTTTCGATTTTGCAGCCATAAATACACGTGGAAACGGTGTATTCGGCCCCTACACAAATTTCTTTTCTGAATACCAAGCAAGGTTTTTACGGTCCAGTTTCATTAAAATCGAATGATGCAAGCTTGTCACCGAGATAGAGATTTAAGGTACGACCGCCATCTTAGATTTTCGAATTTATGAAAACTGAAAATTCGAGTTTCGCGTCAAAAAGTACTTTTTGATGCCAAGTTTCACTCAAATCGATTGATTAGGTGCCGGCATAGCATTATAAGTCACGTCTGCCATCTTGGATTTTTTTATTTTGGAACTTTGACTAAATATTCGAGTTTCTCATTAAAAAATACTTTGGTACACCAAATTTCACTTAAATTGGTTGAATAGAGCACCAACAGGGCTTAGGCAAGCAAATCTCAATTGTACAAATAAATTAGTTGTCTCACCAAGGTGGGGTCGAATGGAACAGTACAGATTGGGGGAATAAGCTGTTTTTGAAGCTTATCTCTTACAGTGAAGACAATTTTGGTAGGTTTTTTTCACGGAATTTATAGTGGCACATCCTAGAGTATTGGGATTTGACAAGTTTTTCCACAGATCAGCCTCCGGAAGTATTTTACGAGCTGATATTAGCGTGTGTGTGATTTTTTTTATTATTTTATTTGTTGTATGTGGTGGTTTACACTAGGTGGTTTTAAAATTCTCAAGGAAACACCCAGATCCGTAGAGACATTAATTTTACCTAATAACAAAATCGCACAAGAAAAATTTCGAAGAAATTTGGAAGAGCTTAGGGGAACTAGAAAACTTATTGAATATAACGCGCACGTTCTGAAACATGGCTTTTTAGTATACTTTGAGAACGTATTTTACTGTAAAATTTGATCACCTCCACCTTAATTAGGTATTCTTTTGTCCTATTTTTTGGATTTCACAAAAATTCTAGTCTTCCAAAATTTTAGTTAAATATTTCTTTTGTAAAAAATTATTCTATTATTTATTACATGATTAAATGAATTTTAAAAATGAATTTTTAATCGTGTATTTTTTTCACATCATCATGGAAAGAAAAAATACCTCCAAACATTTTCCATGGACACGCTACTGAAACATTACTGTCTTGCAATTACCAACTTGTTTTATTATAAACTTATATGTCTTTTATCAAAGTTTAGTGAAAAAATATAGAAATTTCGATTAGATTCCTCTCAGCCTTCACGAAGAAAACGAGTCAAAGACTGGGTCCTAGAAGGGCATCAACTCGAATTTGGGTAAAAACCAGCCCTAACCTTCCACGACTACGACATAAATCTGAGGAAGACCGGTGATAGGTGCCTACCCAAAAGATGATGCCATTTGATGTATCTCTCTAGGTACGAGTAATATCGTTTTTCCGTATTAATTTTGCAACATCGCACAAAGCGTGCGCTAATGGAAAGCCCTCTCAACCTCGAAGTTTACATAAAACAATAGATGAGTTTTAATTACTTCATCCGTTGTCTTTTTACAGAATAATGCCTCACTGCAGTGTCGTAAAAGCGTTTCAGGATGAGAGCAGTAAAAACTGACGCCACCAACATCATGATCCGTTAAAAAATCGCACGAGAGAAGTATGGTCTTTATCATTATTTGCACAGAAAATATATAAAAAAAAAAATTGAAACTCTCAATTAAATTGAGTTACAATGAAAGAAAATCGGTATTCAAGAAAATCATTTTAACTGACAAGAATACAGGGTGATCCAAAAGTCCCTTCCACCCCCTCTAACTTTTTACCTAATTGAGGTAAAGATTTGAAACTTGGGGGATATTCCTAGGTCAAAGGGAGCTATACTTTTTGGCTCCCCTAAAATTTTCAGGGGGCCCCCCTTGGGGAGGCAACGGCCCTCAACTTTTAATTTTCAAATGGGAAGACCCCCTTTGTGATAGCTCGTTCAAAAGAGCATAAAAAAAGAAAACTTTTCGCGCAAACCCGAAGTCAATATCTCAAACCGTTTCAAAATGGCGGCCGGTTAAAGTTCAAAATGGCCGAAAATTCACATCGGTTACTTGTCGATGGATTTGCGCGAAAATCGGTATGTAGGGGTATTTTGACGCGAGAAAAACGAATTTGACGTTAGATTTTAAAAAAAACCGAAATTTCCAAAATGGCCGCCGGTTAAAGCTCAAAATGACCAAAAATTGATTTTTTTAGAAATCTAAGTTCAAATTTGTTGGTCTTATGCCATAATACTCTCAAATTCCAAGTTTTAGGCAAATCTATCAGCAAAAAACCGAGGTGACAATTTTCGGCCATTTTAAACTTTAACCGGCGGCCATTTTGGAAATTTCGGTTTTTTTGAAAATCTAACATCAAATTCGTTTTTCTCGTGTCAAAATACCCCTACATACCGATTTTCACGCAAATCCATCGACAGATAACCGTTGTGAATTTTCGGCCATTTTGAACTTTAACCGGCCGCCATTTTGAAACGGTTTGAGATATTGACTTCGGATTTGCGCGAAAAGTTTTCTTTTTTTATGCTCTTTCGAACGAGCTACCACAAAGGGGGTCTTCCCATTTGAAAATTAAAATTTGGGGGCCGTTGCCCCCCAAGGGGGCCCCCTGAAAATTTTAGGGGGGCCAAAAAGTAGCGCCCTTTGACCTAGGAATATCCCTCAAGTTTCAAATCTTTACCTCAATTAGGTAAAAAGTTAGAGGGGGTGGAAGGGACTTTTGGATCACCCTGTATTATATATATTTAGCTTTAAAACATAAGTTGAAAAACACAAAGGCATATCAATAGTGAGACTGCAGAAATGCGTATTTCGGTTTGGGACGTTGAAAACTTCCTGCCATACTTTATTTTCCACATGGAAAACTATGGAACATCACATTTGGAAATTTTAGTGAATTTTATTCTTTTTAGTAAGAATATTCTGTGAAAAACTTCAAGCCTTGATGTTGATTTGGTCTTCCTTTAAAAAATAAAATACGAGCGGCGATCTCGAAAAAACGAAACCGAGTTATGCATTTTTGCAGTTACATCGTCAATATGGTCACATGCATGAGTACATGGCCATTCTACCATTCTCTCTCAAATGGACGCATTTATCTCAAAGAGTATAGTATCTCAGCGACCTTAAACAAAAAGAACTATGCAGGACGCAAACTCATGGTTTCTTTTCCTGATTCATGTCTGAGAAGTTCTTTATAGCAAATGTATGTAAACATGATGAAACCTCGTCAGAAATGGTGTGCATTATTGCAAACTTAAAAAAAGTCTTTCAATTTTCTATGTAACCAATAGATGCGGTCCAGCCCCCCCTCCCCCCCCCACACACACAGTCTTGTACACCCTCACACACACACGTTGCGCCCACTCACTTTGCGCCTCCAGCGTCATGCGATACGTGCTACTCTCATAATTCTCCGTATATTATGGACTATGCTGCACTGCTGCAGTGCTAAGGGAAAACGCCTTATGGAACTCCAGGCGTTGCCAAATTTCCTTTGATACAACGCAAATTTCCTGGTAAATTTATGAATATTTTCCTCCCAATTTTTCACAAAATTTAGTCCGTAATTTTACCTGAAGGCTCTGAAAATTACAATGAAAAATATTCATAACTTTCCTAAAAAATAAACATTTTATCGCAGGAAATTTGGCAACTCTCCAATGTTCATACGGCGTTCTTCCATAGCACGGCAGTATGGTTTGAAAACACATACATATAGGTCGATCTATAGCACACTCAGGCGCTTTACGACTCCCAACCATCACTGCCCCCTGCCAAGCCACAACCCTTCGGGCATCGAGCGCCTTAACATTTCTGCTTCAATCCCCTCCCTTCAACCTCTCATTGGGCGCCCTTTGCGCCTTCTCCCAGGAGGAACCCAATCAAGAACCTTCTTTGGCAACCTATGTCCTGCCATTCTCTGAACGTGACCATCCCAAATGAATTGCTGATTTGAAAATGGAGAATTTGCATGCAAATTTTTTATTGCTCTATCCGAAATTGTTGAAAGAGCTGATTTCACAGTGTTTTTAATAATTTTTTTCTGATGTGGGAAATAGTACAAAAATATAACTAAAAGTGAGGAAATGCACCGCCTAGTGACGTCGTCTGGCGGCATTTCTCATTTAAACACATGTACTTTATAGCAGATTAGATCATTTTGTCACATCTTCTCCAATACTTGTTTAATTCATTAACCAAGGGTATCCTCGTGTTCAGTTCACTCAGTAATTTCCACTTAAACACAACTCAACAAATTTTAGACACCTGAAAATTCTCTTTTACTTTGATTTTTCATCGTCATGAAACAAGTCAAACACAAAGAGTCGCCGAATGATCGTATCAAAAGTAATGAACAATGCCTACCAACGTTCCGAATAATCAGATAAAAAACTGTAATTAGAGCAATATTAACTTAATTGAGTATATCTACATGAATGTACCAAGAGGCCTGCTGAAGGTGCGTAGATTTTGGTAAAATATTCCAAATCATTTTCCTTGAATCTCAAATGTTGACATGAAGTTACACGCACTGAAAATATCCGGATGATACAAAGCACTCATTCAATAAAAGTTCATCAGAAGTGTCGCGCCGTCCGCAAAACGAGTCAAAAACGCCTTCAAATGAGCTTGATACCATGCAACGCATCCAAGTTAAGCCTCCTCATTCTGAAGCTAAGCCGCAGTGAACTCGGCTCCTGCTCCTTCGATTCTTGTGAAATTTCATATTGGTCCGCACTACTTTACAGGATACCCGAATTCTTAGTCACATTTTCTAAATCTACGATGGCGAACGTAGCTTAAAGTATCACACTGGAAAAAAAAACACACATTGGATCTAGAGTCCAGACTCTTGAAAACATTGACAAGAAAAAATACTCTTGATTCAATCAGATTTAAGCTTAAATCAAAAGGAAATCCGCTCAAATTAAGAGGCTTGGTTCTTGATTTAAGCAGAAATCAGATTGAATCAAGTATTTTTTCTTGTCAATGTTTTTAAGAGTCTGGACTCTAGATCCAATGTGTTTTTTTTTTTTTTTTTTTTTTTTTTTTTTTTTTTTTTTTTTTTCCAGTGCACCATGGCTCCTGTTTAACCGATTTTTGTGGAACTTGGTATGGTTTCAGTCAAACTAGAAAATGCAAGATGATGGGCTTATTTTAATAGTCTAAATCATTGGGTCCTCTCTGAAAAAATCGTCCTCTGTTTAGACGGTGTCCTTTGAAATTGCTTAATTTTCTGATTCATGGAAGGAAGCGACCAACACCGAAACGGTAGATCCATTCCTGATTTTTCCGCCGGGCAAGAAATACCTCACCCTTCCCCTCTCCACCCCTTCGCACACCACCCCCTCACCCTCCTCAACCGGATGCTAGGAGGCCACAGTTCCTCATCATAGGGCATGCCCCCGTTACTGCCGTGCTAAGGAAGAACGCCGTATGAGCCTTCAGGCGTTGCCAAGTTTCCTTCCATAAAAACCGAATTTACTGAGAAAATTATGAATATTTTTTTCCAAAAATTTAGACAATTTCGTTCGCAATTTAATCTAAAATATCTGAAAACCTCAAAGAAAAATGTGCATGATTTTCGTCAAAAATACATGTTTTATCTGGGGAGAATTGGCAACTCTTGGATATTCATACGGTGTTCTTCCTTGGAACGGTAGATTACTAGTCATCATTGCGCCGCCGCACCGTCCGCTAAACGAATGAAAAACGCCTTCAATCGAGCTCGATACTGTGCAACACACCCGAGTTGATATATTCGTATCATGACTGCGGAACCCAAAGCCTCCTTCTGAAGCTGAAGCGCAGTGAGGTCGGCTCCTGGTCGGTTGCTTTTTGTGAAATTTGATATAAGGACCATGCAGGAACTACCTTTTTACGGGAAACTCGCATATCCGCTTAACTTACAGTTAGCTGCCGTCCTTTGACACCAAGATCGTTGGAATCCGTGCTGTCGCATACCGTTTGCTCTGAATTCCATTATAAATCGAATCAATTTTCAGATTAAGGGAGTATGTGTAAGTAAGAGTCTCGGCCATCACTTAGCTAACGGGAATTTAGTACTGCCGTTCTAAGAAAAAACGCCGTATGATAACACTCGAGAGTTGCCTTTCCTTCGATAAATGTTTATTTTTAAGGCAAGTTATGAATATATTTCCTTGAAATTTTCAGAAACTTTAGGTGAAATTGCGAACAACATTATATGAAAATTGGAAGAAAAATATGCATATGTTTACCAGGAAATCCGTATTTTTTCGAAGGATATTCGGCAACGTTTGAAGGTTCATACGGCGTTTTTCCTTAGCACGGCACAGTATAAGGCGTCATTTTCCTCGACCGGGGGTGGCTACCGCCACTCTTGATAACTTTAAATATATAGAGAATAAGATTTTGTAGATATTTCTTTCAAAGAAATTTAACGAAGGCCTTACCTTAACAAACCTTGGGAGACAGTTCCCATTCTAATTATAACGATCGTTTCGTGATTCCAGATACCAGTTTGTTTAGTATTTTGCACTGGGACAGGGGGAACCCATCTGAAAATAAGTTTTTATTGATTCTTGAGGGTCATTGAGTTCAGAAATTACAGATACTTCCAAAAAATTCATGTTTTTTTAAAAATTGCAGCTCCGTAGCGCTACTTTAGAGGCCCACCGAGCGCCGACCGACCGCTCAGTGGGCCTGTACGGGGCTGTAATTTTAACACCCCTCCTAGCCCCCCCTCCCCAATTTTTTGGGGGTCTGAAAATTTGGAAAGAAGCTCTCAAGTATGACTAATCAATAGACAAAGTTTGGAGAAATTCCAGAGGGGGGAGGCGAAAAAAGCCGTTTTTGCATCAGGCTCTTTTTATCGTTTTCTTACGAGAAGGGAGGGGGAGATATATACTTATGGCGCGCTCTTCTAACACCACGTTTTGGGTTTACCTTCTCATGCTTATTTATTTCTTCTTTATTATGAAATACATTAACATTTTAGAGGGAAAAACAAGACCTAGTTTTCAATTTGAAAAAGTAATATACTTTCATGATAAGAAGTCCATGTGAACAGCACACAAACATATTTTACATTTGATTATTGAACCTTTCCATATGGCAACCCTATATTTTCTAAAAATTACAGTAAATATCGAACACAACTTCGTCTACTTAAAGGAATGCTGCCAAGGAATGAAAAATAAATTATTTAAAACTAAGATGAAAGTGAAACAACATAAAAAGACTCTAACAGTTATGAAACAACATGAAACATAATGAATGTATAATCGGGCATAGGTATTTTGGAGAGTTATACTCCCATACATTATAATTACAGTACAGTAGGACAAGGTGTGCCTTCACTTCAAAGCAGAGGTTTTAGAAAGTAACAAAAACAAAAATAAATGAAAAATCAAAATGATTCAATTTCTGTATTAGCTTGTTTGGAAATTCATTTGTATTGGGCTTTAATTTATGAATCACATTTGACGGACGGACCCTCACAGAGTAATGAGATAAAAAAAGAAGAACGAGAAAACTTGATGGATGATTTAAGTATTTAGATGAATAAATAACTCAATGGTAGGTAAGTAAAAAATATTTCGCTGTCAACTTTAACCTTTCAGAAGCTATTTGTTTTGTATAGTAAGTTTATGAAACTAATCTTTGCTATGGAATGTTTTGCTAATATTCTATGATCTTTATCCTTCGTCTTATATGCGTTTAAGTCAATTAAAATTCCGAGTGTATTCTAACAGCATTGTACTGGAAAAACTTCACATCAACTTGGAATCAAACGATGACTCCGAAAATAAATAAGCTTATCAGGCTAAATATCGCTAGTTTTGAGTGCATTCTCCGAGAGCATATGTATCTATTTCTGGTGGAGTCTGTCAATTTTTTGTAATCATTTGCAAGTGATGAATATGGAGAAAAAATTCTCATGGTCAGAAAATGTTACACTAAATTACAGGTTAATTTGCTATGGCGGTTTGATTTAAGTCTCATTATTGGATGGTTGTAGGAATGGCCTGATGGATTCACGGAGCTCCTTTTGAAATCGTCTAACGTTCTTCCTAGATTCCTGCAAACAAAAGTATCGAAGGTTAATTCGATTAGATTGTAGGTTATCGAAAGTTGCGAATAAATACAAATTGAAATCGAAGACTAAGTTAGCATACTCCAACATTTCAATTTTTCTAATGATGAAGAGTCGTCAATCTTGAGCCGTAAGAAGGAGACAAAAAGCAATGCGTTGATCTGTATCAAAACGTCTCATAACAGAATTAAATGCAAATGCTCTGCTACCATATCATTGAGAAAAAGCATATGTAATATATTAAGATAAATATCCTCGGACTAATTCCAACAGAAATTTGTATGCAATATACTGATTTACATGTTTGAATATTTATTTGAATAATCTTAAATACTTGTTTTGAGCAGAATCTAAATATCAAATTTTTTTTTGCTTTTTTTGTCGAAGAAGCAATACGGTGATAATAATTGCTCGCCCATAGATTCAGACACCTCAGATGCTAGATATGTTGCATTCATTCTATTTGAAGGCGAATCTTGCAGCGAACATTGAATACGAACAGTTTCGCTGACTGGACTGGTCCTCTCTGGAAAACCTGTTTTTCTTACAGAAATGGTGTTGCATTATAGTTTTAATTCGAACCTATGGATTGCAGGCCTACGGCTATCGGGTTAGGTTTTCTTTAAAGAAAAATGGCATGCTATCGAGCATAGACTCATCGATTGTTTACAAATGCCAATCACGGTATAAAGACATGTTTAGACTAAAACGTGTATGATTTTCATGTAAGCATGAATGTAGAAATGTTTCGCCTTCTTTATTCTTTATGTTGGAAATTTTCCTTTTTTCCCCTTTCCCCCTTTCTATCTCCATTTCCGGCTTCAATGCCCCAAAAGTACCTACATTTATAATAGTCCAGGTGCCTGGTAAATCTACCTGGAATTTCGAGTACATAGCTATTTTTTTTAGCCTACTATATGATTTTTGGGTCGCTGAATCCGACTCTAAAGTTCCCTTACTCGTGTCTGGTGTGCATTTTCCGTCATTTTGAACAATGACCTAAAAAGACCTTTTTTGCGGTTTTTTTAAAACAGCGGCCACGTATGACTAAAAGTCCTGGATTTAGTTGATGTTTTGAATAGCTGACGTAATTTGGAAGAAAAGGTACATCAATGTGCTGGGCTTGATCAAAAATTGAGGAAGATACAGCATCGTGAACATCGCGCCCATTCACGTTTTCGCAGCGCATCCGTCAACGTGCGGTCCTAGCAAACTTTTTGAGCAAACCTAGCATATTTATAAAGTATTTTCTTCCAAATTACGTCAGGTATTCAAAACATCAACTAAATCCGGGATTTTTTCTCTGCGTAGCCGCTATTTAAAAAAAAAAAAAAAAAAAAAAACCCGCGAAAAAGGCATTTTTAAACAATTTTTTTCCAAATGGCGGAAAATTTTCAGCAGATACGTGTGAAAAAACTTCAGATTCGGTTTAAGCGACCCACAAAACATAAAATTAGCAGAAAAAATTGCCCCGAAAATCCCGAAACTCTCAGGTAGTCTGTTCACAGGGCTCGTGCACTTTCTTTGTTACATTTACAGAACTTTTGTGTTGTCAGAACAAAAACTCAGTCGTGATTAGAGTACTCTGTCCTCATAACAGAAACTTCTGTAGCTGTAACAAAGGGAGTGCAGGAGCCCTATGAACAGAACTATTTTTTCAGTGTACTGGTCAGTAAACTGTGTCATAGCATAAATCGGTGATTTTCAAAAATTGCAGGGAAGATACGCATTTTACAACTTGAGTCGTCAATACGAGGTTTTGTTCGGAATTACATGAGGACGTATTTCTATCAAACAGAACTAAGCGCCATCGGGGGAGGAAGGGAGAGGGGGGCTTGGATTGGTGGGTGTTACGGAACGCAATGCTCGTTCCGTCCTATACTCGCAATGCTTTTCCATGGCGCTTAGTTCCGTTTGATATAACGCGCTATCCGAGATTTTAAAATCCTTAGAAGGAACTCAACTTCACCGAAAAAAATAATATGCTGTTTTAGCATCTAGGATGTCAAAAATGTGTCTAGTGATCCCAAGATGCTGCCTTTACTGCCCCCGCAGTTAATTTTACATCCTGTGAATGCAAATTCAACTGCGGGGGCAGTAAAAGCAGCACCTTGGGATCACCAGACACATTTTTGACATTCTAGATGCTAAAACAGCACATTATTTTTTTCGGTGTTGGCGCTCAAGGTTCCGTTTAACAGAAGTACGTCCATGAGATACTCACACTCATGGCTAGTTTGAGCTCGCTATCCCACAGCTTGCGAAGGCCTCTATAATTCTTGCCCAAGAGGTCGAATACTGCTTGACGACCAGGCGGCGCCGGTGCCGGAGGCGGGGGTGCCGGTGACGTTCCGTTCTCGTTCCCACCGCTGGCGCTTGTCATCGTGTCTGCAGGTGTCGTCTGAAATTTGAAAAGTATCCTCAACATCATTCCAACTCGTAAAGTGAAATGGGGATGGTAAAGGTGTCTGAAATTTTGCGAATTTCATGCACCGAAAAAAATAATATGCTGCTTTGGCATCTGGGATGTCAAAAATGTGTCTGGTGATCCCAAGAAGCTGCCTTTACTGCCCCCGCAGTTGAATTTGCATTCACAGGATGTATAATTAACTGCGGGGGCTGTAAAGGCAGCATCTTGGGATCACCAGACACATTTTTGACATCGTAGATGCTAAAACAGCATATTATTTTTTTCGGTGTGCTTCAGAAGCAACGCAACGGTGCGGCGCACAGTGGATCGAGTTAACGGGAGAGGTCGGACAAAATTTGGAAACTGTAAAAGCTTATAATTCCGCGCATACAAAACTTTCAGGTTTTAAAAGTGCCTCAATTGGTTTTCTCGTGAAATTTTCTTCTGGAGACACTCCTTAAAATTTAAAATGTCACGAAATAAACATGAAACTTTGCAGTTTTAGTCAAAAAGTTCATATCCAACCTCTCTGATTGACTCTATCCAGTGTGCGGCGTGGCGTGCATTCCGATAGATCAATTAATCTGCCATTTAAACCTAAAGAAAAGGATCGATGAACAGAATGTTCGCAACCAACACCTTGATAATTGCTTCTTTGCCATAGCTTCAAACGGGGGAATATTGATAATGGATCATTCACGCCCCGCTACTGTTCGGAGGACACCCCTCTTTGTCAGTGGACTGAGCATGAGAATATCCTTGCTTCCTAAAATGAACAATTATTAGAGGAGATATTACCAAGTTGCCTACTCTGGTAATACATCTGCTTAAATGGAAAAGGCCGCCTGATGACGTCACACGGCAGCAGATTTTCTCTTTTTTAAATCTATTCTTCTATAATTTCTTATCTTGGAAAAAAATCATGAAATTATTTCGAACGCAGCTAATTAAGCACCCTTAGATGCAGCAGTACAAATTTCCGTGCAAATCCTCCATTGATTAAACTCAGTCCCATCTGAATCCTTTTTCTACGTAAGTACAACAACCCTCCAACCGAGTCAAATGGGCACATATGAAAATAACATTTTGTTCCCTTGAAGTCACAATTTCCCTTTATGTGTGTGTTTTTTACATTAGAATTAAATGAGTATAAAATTTTTGGTTTTTCACAACTCTTTCTATTTTAGGAACTCTAACTCTACGATGTGCTGTCCCTCTATGAATTCCTAGACCTTTCTCTAGATTCCCTTTCAACTCTTCAATTTACAATCATGCAAAACTTTTTTTCTTTTTTTGAGCCACTCATGGAATCAATTTTTCCCACGTGTATACATTCAGGGTTGCACCACTGAATATAACGGAGAAAAAAGGAAAATAATAAAATATTAGAAATTGTTGCAACCCAGCTCAGTTTCTCAGTTTGAAGCCACAATAAGGTTAATTGATTTTAAGATTCGCATCTTTTATACGGTTTTACTAGTGATAGAGTCGTGTTTTGGTAGTCAAATCTCAAAGAGTACCATAAAATACCCACTTATATCTTACAGCTTGTCAAGAGTGTTCAAATGTTTCCTTTCGAGTTTCATATCTTTTGCGGTGGTAAATAATTGTAATCGCGAAAATCTAATTCCGAAATTCAATTTCTTAGATGTTTTCAATTTTTGTAAGAAAGTCCTTTTCGTGGAGCAATATTAAAGGCTTTCTTAATTGTAATTTGAACCTCTCGGAGCCCACTGGGAAAGTTAAAGAAAGAGCTGGATATGGCCCTAAGTTTCGACCAATAAAACACAATTCCACAAGTAGTGAAAGTAACCCGTCACGTATAGTACTTACATCCACTGACTGCATCTGAAATCACTGTTTCCCTATCCTCAGCAACTCCAACTGAAAGTGCGAAGGTCTGAGGGCGGCTGTAATCCCAACCATCAATCGGGTGACTCAACGGGCTGTGCTTTCCAGTTTAATTGCACATTCACTAGAGCCCCCTCGAGGCATCGCAATTCACCGCAGATCGCTTTGTAATCAATGCAGAAAAGAGCAACTCGCCACTAATCAAGGCTAAAAGCGTTATCATTAAACGCACTACTTGTGGACGCTTGACAACAATCCCCCATTCACAGCGATTACAGCATTGCGATGCCAACGAAAAACGCACTATGCGCCTTCAAACGTTGCCAAATTCCCTCGGATAAAATATTCATGTTTGAGAATATATAATATGTGATGTATAATATGTATGTAATGTATAATATGTATGTAATGTATAATATGTATGTAATGTATAATATGTATGTAATATAATATGTATAATATGTATGAGAATATATAATAAGTACATAAATGTATCTTTTTCTTTTTTTAAAGTACACGGAAACGCTGCATTGAAAGGCACAAAGCTGTCCTTCAAGTTTTGCATTGGTCAAGCGTATAAGCCAACAAAAACGCTAGCAAGTTGCTTGATTTTTTATATCAACTCTTTATCTACAAATAAATGAGCCCTTGCCGGGCGCATTTTTTGTCCAAAATCAATCGAGATGCAGCAATTCTCTGAACATTTTTTGCGGATCTTTACCAAATTTTATAGAACTTACGGCCTAAAACATAGTGACCCTCCCGTATCAATGTACAGACTAGATCTCGCGCCCTGTGCTTTTTGGTTTTTTTCTTTTTTTCTCTTTTTTTCTAAACTGAAAATAGCTTTACGAGGTAAGAAATTCAGTTCAGCTGATGAAATTAGGCAGTAGCGGAGTAGCGTGAGTTCTTTTGTAAATAACCCTCACTCACGAGGACTCCATCAAAAAGCTTCTGGTTCGATTGAAAGAAAGATTGTGATTGCGTATCAAAGTTGTAGATGGTTACATGCCGATGCAAAATGTTATGGTGTATTTTCATAAGACAAATTTTTCACATTACAATAAATAAAGAGAAATATAGAGAGAAAAATGGAATTATCTTAATATGAATGTGATTCTGCGTCTGCGGCAAATGTTGCAATGGCTATTTTTGCCATCGCATTTTTGTTTCTGGCTTTCATCGTTGATAAACTTTCTTTACTTGGCAACAATGTAATGAAACCATATAATTTCATTTTCATTTTTTTTTTTTTAAATCAAGTCGCCCACTTGAATTAAGGTTATACTTTCTCAAGTTAGCAGTTTAAATTCTGAATTGTTATCGGCACAGTTCGAAGAAACAGTTATTATTCGGCACGGTTCGGAAGACCGTTTCTGCCATAATTCTTACACAATACTTATGGTATACATTAAGAGCTGAAAAGGAATTCACTTGAATTTTAGCGAGGAGCTCGAAAGACCACTTCAAGCCTTTGTATGCGAGTGGCTCAATGGAGCACATCATACCTTTGTAGGTATGCGGTGGCTCAGTGGAGCACCTCACGCACTATAAATTGCCTGGAGCTCGAAAGAGCACTTCATGCATCTGTATTTTAAGGTTAAAACGAACTCTAAAGAAACTCAATGCGAGGCTCAAACAAACTCTCAAGCATTCTTAATGCGAGGCTTAAACGAATCCTAAAGCATTCTTAATATGAGGTTTAAAGAAACTCTGACGGGATCCCGATCGATGCGAGGCTCAAACGAACTCTCAAGCATGCAATTATTTTGGGGTTAATTATAACCTCTTATGGTACCAATAACGGCAATCTCAAGGATTATCCATTACTTATGCGCAAATCTCAATTTTAGTCTTAGTAACTTAAAATTAATTGAACAATTTATTAAATCACGTCGAGGTCACCATGTTTTTTACTTTAAGAAATAACAATTGCAAGTACAACTGCACACAAAAACTGCATTGAAAAGATAATGAGGATGATAACATACAATTAGGTTATTTGCTATAAAACAATAGCAACATGCTATGATATGCTCGGCCACCGGAAAGTGCTGCTCTCTAGTGTAGCAAAAGAGGAACAATTAATCCTCAGTTGAATGAAGGGACGGAAATGTTCGACCAAGGAAAACTGTAACCCGCGAAAAAAGACAAAATTCAACTTTTTGACCTTGAAATCAATTGGATTTTGGCCGTTCCTTCGACGGCAACGAGAACCATCTATTTGTCGCCACGGACACTGGTTATGCTAAAAGAAATCGATCGTAAAGAACTCTCCCGAGTGGGCGAGCTCAAAAAGTTTAAGAGTGTTCCATGAGGAAGAAGTAGGTATTCAAACTTCATTAAAATACTTATTTCGTTCATTACTTTTGATAGGTACAACACGTATCTAATGTTTAAAACCTATGTGTTATTTTTTTTCCTAAGAAACAGTCCATTAGTCAGGCGAGGGTCTATACAACACGTCTCCAAAAAAAAAAAAAAAAAGCCGTATCATAGTCAATTTTTAAGTGAATTTGCTTGATAGAGACTCTTTTTGTATACAAAAATTTGATCTACAGAACTCTAAAACCTGCACTACGCCAGCTTTTCTTTTGTTGGTTCATGAAATGGCCGCTGTAAATCTTTTTGGATAGCAATTGTACCTAAAATTCTTTGAAAAATTGGAGGGAAAATACACGTAAATTATCATAAAACCTGACTTTTATCAGAAGAAATTTGACAACATTTATAAGCGTATATGGAGTTTTTCTTCAGCCTTCATCAAATCGGGTGTGCAAACGATGCTGAATATATCGTAGTCTGGCAAGATTATGTTATTGACGATGGTTCCACATGTCACCGGTGAGTTAGAAAGGTAAAAAGAGCTTGATTTCACCGGAAAAAATTTCTTCGGTAGTGACTTCAGTACCTATAATAGCCTCTACTTAATGGATGCAAAGAATGATTGTCAGTAGGCCATCTGGACAAGTTTCTGGGCTGTGTGGGCGATTTTCCAGCATTTAATTGGAGGTTCGAACTTTACAGGCAATATCAGTCGATGTTAGAGCACTTTTGGAGTATTTTAGACGATTGATAGAAACGACACTTCTGAGTGCTAGTTTTATGTTTTATTTATCACGTTTTTGAGACATCAGCGATTGATTTGACGTTACGATAACGAGATGCGACTGTAATTAGAATACCGTTTGAAACAGTAGCGTGGCGTGAATGATCGATTACCTATCGATATTTCCCCATTTGAAGCTATGGTATAAAGAATCGATCAGGGTGGCAAAATTTTATGAAAAATAAAACCTTGAAATTTCACGTGAAATATTTCATGAAATTTCAGAAATTTATGAAAGATATTGAAAAATACAAGTTTCATTTATGCTCCGAAGGTTGTAAAAATCGTAATTTTCCTCTATTTTTGGGTGTTTGAGTGCGGGTTGCATACTTTGGCCCCTGAAAAATATGAAATATTACACAGCCTTGTGAAATTTCATGAAATATTTCACTGCAATTGCCGATCTTTCATTTCTTTCCTACGTTTCATGCCACCCTGGAATCGATTATTAAGATGTTCGCTGCAAACACCCTGTTTATGGATCCTTTTCCATAGGTTTAAATGGTAGATCAATCGATGTACCGCAAAGCACGCCATGCCACTGGTTTGAAACAAGGTGATTTCCTGTTGTTCCAACGAAGAAGTCTTGTCTCGGCCTATTCTGCAGGAAGTCCTGTGTGTCCGGCGACACGATTTTATCAGTGCATAATATATCAATCGACGTTTCAAATCCAACAGGCCGGTCCTGATTTGTATGAATGCCCTGTGGAATCCCTGGCCTCAAATTACACAGTAGCGTGGATGGTCCACCAACCATCAGTGATCAGCAATCAGAGCTCTTACGGCCGAAATAAAGTGGTCTTGACCGTTTCGTAATCCAAGAGGTGGGCTCGTGGAATGGGCTCCTCCGTAGAATGTTTGTTTAACGAATACTTACCTCTCGAAAATTATGGCCCTTATCTATTTCGTAATGAGGTGCACACTATCTCCTCCGAGGGCGTTTCGAGCTTTCGGCAACAGGTTTAATGCATTCATTCTTTCAAAAGCTCCCGTCGCAGTGTTTGTCTCAAAAAGAGGTGCATGTATTGGGCTTCATTTTGTCATAAGGAGCAAATATTTCTGGCTCACTTGTAAAAGCGCCCAGCTGCATTATACTAATGACAAGTATATTATCTCTAAAATGGACCAGAAGTTGTAGTTCGAATTGCAAAATGAACCCTATTATTCTTCCTCTGAAGTGGACGTATTATTGCCGAACGGAACTAGACAAACGGACGGACTATTTGCCATCAAGACATGAGCCCTGAGACCCATAAGAATATGTGCATAACAGGGCTCGCTCGCACGTCATGATGCACATACTTCTGTTTGACAGAAATACGACCTAGTATCGACGATTGAAGGGGGAAATCAAGCAACTTGATCGGCGAGTTCTGTGACATTGCGGGCTTCTTGCCCCATTTAAAAAAGGGGGGGCAATGCTTAGTTCCAGTTCTATTTTCTGTCAAAATCACTCAAAAAATTTTGTTTTTATAATTAAAAACAAGCATAGAAGAATTTAAGACGTTAAAATCTCAATGCGCACATATTTCCACCTCCACCATTCTGCCATGCTAAGGAAGAACGCCGTATGAGTCTTCACCCGTTGCCAAATTTCCCCTGGCAAATCGCTAATTTTCAGGAACATTTTCGAATATTTGTCCATTATTAATTTCTCAGATAATTTTGTTTGTAATTTGATCTAAAACTCCTGAAAATGTCAAGGAAAAATATTCATAATTTTCCTCAAAAATGGACATTTCATTGAAGGAAATTTGCCAACTCTCGAATGTTCATACGGCGTTTTTCCTTAGCGGCCGGCAGCTTTGTAAACGCCAAACAACTGGGGTGTTATTATGTTGTTACTATAGGTATGTATTGCTGTCCATAATATTTCTTAGTTATTCTTCTTTCATTCTGCCCTAAAACTAAAGAAATACATACATAATGAAGATTTGCAGCTCTTGTAACTCGTTTTTTTTTAGTTTATATTCTGGAAGGAGCTCTTGGATTTTTGGAAAGAAATTCCTGCGTCAATATCTTGATTAAAAATTGACCGGAGGCAGGTCCTCGAAGCAAATACTTAATTCTTTTGTGAGAGTTGGTTGAGAAAATACGTAACTTAAATTGGAATTATTTCTATTAGTCCTTTCAAGGAGTAAAAACGGATGGGTTTAATCTTGAAAATTTTTAGAATCAAAACACGAAAAGTTCAATCCTAAAAAAGATCATGACAGTTACTTTTTTATGATCTACGATAAATTTTCAGTTTTAGAGGGAAAGTTGAGTGTTAATTTGGCAGAGTGCTTCCTCTTTAGTTTTGAGTGCTCTTAATCGTAGAGATAATAACATTTTTTATCTATGGGAATTCCTGTTACTTAATAACTTCGGATGTGCAGGTATGACTTTTTTACCCGATGAACATAATAGAATAGAGTGTGAGAGACGTGAGGTAATTTTGCCGATGAGCGCTGCAGTTATTTCAGTACGATTATGTTCCAAAAGAGGAGTGCTATAAAAAACCGTACGGTAAGATGTTGCGCAAAGCTGCTCAATGATATAACTTAGCAATGAGAAAAAGGAAGGGGCAGTAGGAGAGGCATATGAACAGGAAACATTTGATTTAGTTTACGCGTGATTGTTTTCTTTCCCTATTATAAATGACTTAGACGTAATTAATCATTGTGATTCAGATTGGATCTGCAATAATGCAGATAATTTTGGACTGCTGTATGTAACTATAAGGGAGCCAAATGTCATTTGAATGAAGAATGGCTGATGTGACGAAGCTTATCCTGCATTAGTGAGATAAAGGTCTTATAAATAAGTATCGAGTCTCTTTTTAATTACGTATTGATAATTTCTCATAAGCAGACAAACGCGTGATAAATCATATTAAAAATAAACCACGAGTCGAGTAGAATTAGGTGAAATAATGGAATTGCAACAGCTTTTTGATAAATAAGTCCATATCTCTATTTTTCTACCCGCTCGTTCAAGTCTTTTTTCCGCATTGCGTTCTTGCGCCCTGGCTGAGATGTGAATATGGTTAACGTTTTTAACTGATATACTCAAACTAATACAAAGTATAAGTATCCTCAGCTGCCTCTTCATATCAATTTTTCAGCTAAGATTTGTGTGTTTTCTATCGTTTTCCAAAATCACACGATTCAATGAAAACAAATCATCCCAACACATCAGTATATTCACGTGTGTGCCCTATATGAAATACAACAAACATGTTGCCAAGAACGCACTCGTGTGTTAAATTGACACAAACGTTGTGTTCTGGATGACCTCAGTTCCGACCTTGACTCAGTGCATGCTGTTTGGACCACAGTGGGGAGTGGGGGGATTTGGCTACATAAAATGAAAAAATAAAATAAAATTTAATTTCCTTCACTTTTTATGTATTTTCTGCCTTTAAAAAAAATTGAAAAGAGAGGAACTGCAAGTGGCATTCTTAATCCTCATCGAGTGAAGTTAAAATATTGTTAAGGGGGTAAATTATGCAAGGATATTTCTTTATGTTTGCATCATGAACACATTCACCAACAATATTATAATAATAGATGAAGAAGAAATAAAGAAAAAAAAGAATAAAATAAAATTGTCGATACATTGCTGTGGATATATAGATGTTGATGTGTTAACATTTTTTATCGCTCTGAATGTTTGTCATGAGACTTCTCTAAAATAACAAACTGTATATGTTCATGTAATAATATCAATAATCATTTACAAAAATAGAGACAAGAAGGGAGCGGGAATATACTAGGTCAATAAAATTTATCCAAATATGTAATCCAATATATATCTCCAAATAAAATATAAATATATGTCCAATAATATCAATAATCATTTAGAAACATAGAGAAAAGAGGGGAGCGTAAATATAGGTCAGTCATAATACTTACTACTTGCTGCCTAAATGAGTCTTCTAAAAGTTTTGAAATATTCCTGTACGCAACTCTTGCATCGACAATTGTCTGCAGAAAAAAAAACGAATAGTTAAAATATTGAAGTATTAAAGTAAATATGGGCAATAGCAACTTTTTTTCCAAGCTTTAATATTAATATTTTAAAAAAAACTTTCATGGTTTCTTTGTATGAGGTGTTTACAACGGGTTTGTAAGGTGGTACATCACATGCGCCCGGAAATGGGCACGTTATTAGCCATGCATTCAAATTAGTCAGTTCAAAGAAAAATTAAAAAAAAAAAAAAAAAA